TTACAAGGATTGACAAAGGCATACATAGTGGGTATTGTCGATGAAACAGAAGACGCTTACTCTTCAGTAACACCTGGTTTTATTCTCATTGTACTTTTTCTCGAGTCTCCGTAAAAATCTTACTTTTGTTCATGTTTTGCCGTTTTGAATATGAGGTTGAATTATGATTATGTTGACATGTTGGTATTTTCTTGATTTTTTATTATTTTTTTTTCATAGACAAATGAAGAATTAGAAAAGTGAAAATATCTTTGTATAACTCATGATATATAAACATAAAACAAAGTAATAATATAGTGAATTCAACATAGGCGAAAAATTGCCAGTAGATTATTTATAACAGAATTGCAAAAGAGATCCATTTACTCAACCAACCACACAAGATATTCTCAGAACATAACCTGTTCCACTTGTTGTAACCTACACGGATCATTACCAATTTTCATTTCATGTGTTTTGAGCATTTAAGTTCAGATGATTAAAACCAGTAGAATTGAAAATCGATTACTTTCCCGAGAAAACATCATTTATTACAAAAAGGTTACTGTAACATACATCATTACCGTAGCTTGAATACAAATCATTTCTCCACATAGGCTGAGTCAACTACTGGTAAGTAATGACATCCCCTGCAGTTTCACACGTGTATGGATCTGACTGATCCTAACAGTTACAGCAGAATGATGGCCTATAAGGTTCCAGTTTGGCTTATATATCTGAGCCCCGTCTCTTTCATGTGTCTTAGAATATAAAAGCGATCGATACTTGTCGTTCGCCATGAAAACTTTCGCCCGATCATCCTTCTTTATTTCTCTATTTGTCCTGTGTGAAGACAACCGAGAAAATCAAAACAAAATTTCAGCTGTCCTTTACTGTAGACCATGCACTGAGGACAAAGAAATACATCTATCTAAAAAGGATAGAAAGAATTTTGAGTTTGTTTGTTCGAAATTCTTGTTCAGAGATCTATATCATTCTTCGATCCTGATCTGGATTGTACAATGTTGATGTCTGTGGGAATGCCTATATCGTAAAGAAATTTCTGACTGACCTTGGTTACCATATGAACTGACTAAAAAGTATCGAATATAGGAATGCAGAAGACCAAAGTAGAAGTGGCATTATATATAACTTTAAGATTTAAAGTGATTAGTACAAGGACACCTGTAAAGTATTGATGATGATTGTACTGTAATGTAAGTGACATTTGATATGTAAATAAGGACAGAATAGATTGACTGTGTCGATCCCTCTGTGATCAATCCGTCCAATTTACGATTACTCAGTGAAAATCGTTGTGATCGTGACGTTATGCCTATATCCTTGTTTGTCAATCGACTTAAAAGCGGTATCGATGTGGAAAAACTTTGAAATGCCATCGAATTCATGACAAAAACCGAACACCTCCAACTACAATCATAGATACGGCAAATTGATCGAAAAAACTAAGCGGTAAAAAAGAGGTTACCAAACTGTGTAAAATATGTCTGTGACTAACATTACACCAGTGTCTCGTAACAACGTAGACGATGGACTTCATTTGTTAGACATAAAAGAGCAAGCTGAAATGTTTGTGAAAGCAATGAGTGCTGCCTCTTTAACTTTCTAGTAGTGGTCGTACAGTTTAATGTCTGTCTTAGAATATGCTGCATATCATCACAAGCACTATATAATCTATGTAGTAGCTATGGAGATTGGAAGAGGTTAAACATATCTGCGAATAGATCAGTTGCCTCTACATTGTCAATCCTTAAACTTATATTCTCTCCCAAAATACATTGCAGTACCCAAATAACACCCCTGTAAATCGTTCACGCCGTTTCAAAATTCTTAGCAACGTATTTGTGTCAGATGATAAATTATTTCAACTTTTGACTGATTTGGTATTTGTATCATTAAAATAGATGTTTGTTCGTCTGGAATATGACTACATTAGTCTACATGGTTATAAATGCGGAAGATTATATTTGAGAAAATAGTCATCAACCGTCGTGTTTACATTTCTATACTTTCACTATTCAACTACCGAGATACAAGGTGATATTCTATAACATCAGTTATAACTTATAATAATTTGGCTACAACATCAATGTCACATTTACTTCTTAAAATCCCAAATGTTGTTTTCTTTTACTCTGATCGATGGCAAACAGCCTATAGCTGCATCCTTCGCTGGTGTTGTCAAGAATTCACGGCGTCAAACTTAGACCCTGACCGCGAGGTCAACTATTGGTAGTCCGTGAGCAGTGTACAGTGGTGTATTGTGACTGTTAAGGGACGGCAAGTCTGGCAGAGATTGCTTGACTTAGTCCACATGACTTTCATCATTTCTAATTTAGATTGGACAGTCTGAACATTTTCCCTTGTTTCTACACACAACAAATTCGCTGTTTTATTACACTCATAAAGCTGACCATGCTACAAGCATATTCCCCCGATAAGGTCAATTATTTCGAAAAAAGCTGCTTATGCACTTATCCATAGTGCCTTATATGGACGTTTGTTTTGTTTGTTTTCGGACGCTTAAGGACATTCTATTTAGACAATCTTCATTTTTTTTTAAATCCGTGATACACGATATTAACAATGTCAACTTCCATATTCTTATATAACTGCTATTGGTCGTCGCGGAAGCGGGTTTCATCAAGGCTAAATAGTCATTATTGTTTTTACGTGCTGACCTCAGGATGACCTGCTTTAACAACCGTAACCGTAAGTTATTAGACCTGAGCACCATATCAACGGTATGTTAATGAAGACACCGGAAGTAACCAGTATAGCTTTGTATCTGGTGTCTTCTTGAGATGAAAGAATGTATCGAAATAGACGTATACTCTCTTCACAAAACGATAACGTCTTGATAGAAGGGCTTGTTGAAGACGTTATGATTGGCTGATGATTTTGATCAATTACACTTTGGTCTAGCTTCATTTACCTTTATGAAAGATCAAGAGAAATAATAGCAAACAAAAATTTCATGGAAGGTTCCGATATAGAAAGCGTCAAGTGATATGGTTTTATATACTTAACAAATGAAAAATGACACCAAACGTTGGCTAATTATATAGATCATTTTCAGTTACTAACGTGTTTTGTAGGAATCTCTGGATTGGCTGCAAACAATTTAAGTGAAATCATCCATGCGTGAAATTCAAATATAGAACAAAACCTATTCTTTCACTAAACTCTAGATTTGTTAAGTTGCATTTCGATAAAAAAAACTTTATGCATATTCACAATGCTGCGTCAGTAGAAAGATAGAGGTAAAAGGTGATTAGCATACTCCACGTCGGCGCAACGTAACGCGAAGTTGCAAGATTTTGGTGTAGCCAAAATATGACGGCTCTGATTTTGATTGATGTCAAATGACGAGACTGCGAGTTTGGCGATGTCAGAGGGCACGAGAATACATATCTGCTTTTTTCTTTTTCTTTTTATGTATATCTATATCCTCCTCTTTAAAATTACCTATGGTTTTCAAAAAATTAGTTATCAGCCAATTTTGACTAAATTATCACCAGTAAGTAGGTATCTATATAGTTCTTCAATTATCTTATATGGAGCTCGATGTATGCGGTGTCAGTGGGTAAATATAAATAGTTCTATAATTATCCTATATGGAGCCCCATGTAAGCGGTGCCAGTAGGTATATATATTATATATACATAAATCTATAGTTCTATAATTATCCTATATGGAGCCCCTTGTTTGCGGTGGATGTAGGTATCTATATAGTTCTGTAATTATCGTATTTGGAGCCCCATGTATGCGGTGCTAGTAGGTATATATATATATATATATATATATATAGTTCTTTAATTATCCTATATGGAGCTCCATGTATGCAGTGCCAGTAAGTATATCTAAGTATTTCTATAATCATCCTATATGGAGCCCCATGTATGCGGTGCCCGTTAGTAGGTATATATATAGTTCTATAATTATCCTATATGGAGCCCAATGTATGCGGTACCAGTAGGTATATATATAGTTCTATAATCATCCTATATGGAGCCCCATGTATGCGGTGCCCGTTAGTAGGTATATATATATAGTTCTATAATCATCCTTAATTGGGACCAGGTGCGCGATGCCAGTAAAAGGGCCTTCTTATTAACATAGATGATACTGCTGAACGCTACATTACTTGAAGCAGAAAAAGCTTACAATTCTGGGAATTATTTGTCTTATTCTGCATGCGGTGTTTTTCAAGGATCTCCGTTTAGGCTTTCTCGGATACATGCTTTGATCTATATTGATCACTTGCGCATCTAAATTAGAATTTTGTTAACATATGGGCAATTTGGTTCGTCGGTAGGAATGTACATATACTTTAAATATTGAAAAATACTTACATCTTCAATATTTTGTTTCACATGGAACAAGAAAGCGCTGCGTCAAGAATACCTTTTCAACCCACTAGATATACATTGAACGCTCTGTGCATTATACAAGGGTTATAAGGATGTTTGAGAAGATGGCCATTATGCGTCTCGCTCCTCTCTCGTTGAATAGAATCTGTGTACTCTGATGTAAAAGAAGGATAAAGAGTCGTAAGCACGTTATCACATTCCAGACAAACGTCATTCAGAAAAACAAGCGTATTGGTGATGGCGCTGTCAATCAATCTTAACGACACACTTGTGTCTGCAACCATTCCAGCATGACCGCATTTGTTTCAATATTGACAAGGAGAACGATAACCTTACCCCAAGGTCACGTTTCCTGGGCAGTCCATTAATCCTGTGATTTACATCTGGCCAGTAACTAGTTAGCAGAGCTAACCACCAACGATACGTTACTTGAAGTAGGAAACTTCCGTACGGTACAGTCACTTGAAGTAGAAGACTGCCATATTGTACAGTCAATTGAAGTAGAAGACTTACGTATGGTACATTCACTTGAAGTAGAAGACTGTCGTACGGTACAGTCACTTGAAGTAGAAGACTGCCTTACGGTACAGTCAATTGAAGTAGAAGACTTACGTATTGTACATTCACTTAAAGTAGAAGACTGCCGTACGGTACAGTCACTTGAAGTAGAAGACTGTCGTATGGTACAGTCACTTGAAGTAGAAGACTGCCGTACGGTACAGTCACTTGAAGTAGAAGACTGCCGTACGGTACAGTCACTTGAAGTAGGAAACTTACGTATTGTACAGTCACTTGAAGTAGAAGACTGTCGTATGGTACAGTCACTTGAAGTAGAAGACTGTCGTATGGTACAGTCACTTGAAGTAGAAGACTGCCGTACGGTACAGTCACTTGAAGTAGAAGACTGTCGTATGGTACAGTCACTTGAAGTAGAAGACTGCCGTATGGTACAGTCACTTGATGTAGAAGACTGCCGTACGGTACAGTCACTTGAAGTAGAAGACTGTCGTACGGTACAGTCACTTGAAGTAGAAGACTGCCGTACGGTACAGTCACTTGAAGTAGAAGACTGTCGTACGGTACAGTCACTTGAAGTAGAAGACTGCCGTACGGTACAGTCACTTGAAGTAGAAGACTGTCGTACGGTACAGTCACTTGAAGTAGAAGACTGCCGTACGGTACAGTCACTTGAAGTAGAAGACTGCCGTACGGTACAGTCACTTGAAGTAGAAGACTGCCGTACGGTACAGTCACTTGAAGTAGGAAACTTACGTATTGTACAGTCACTTGAAGTAGAAGACTGCCGTATGGTACAGTCACTTGAAGTAGAAGACTGTCGTATGGTACAGTCACTTGAAGTAGAAGACTGCCGTACGGTACAGTCACTTGAAGTAGAAGACTGCCGTACGGTACAGTCACTTGAAGTAGAAGACTGCCGTACGGTACAGTCACTTGAAGTAGAAGACTGCCGTACGGTACAGTCACTTGAAGTAGGAAACTTACGTATTGTACAGTCACTTGAAGTAGAAGACTGCCGTATGGTACAGTCACTTGAAGTAGAAGACTGTCGTATGGTACAGTCACTTGAAGTAGAAGACTGCCGTACGGTACAGTCACTTGAAGTAGAAGACTGCCGTACGGTACAGTCACTTGAAGTAGAAGACTGTCGTACGGTACAGTCACTTGAAGTAGAAGACTGCCGTATGGTACAGTCACTTGAAGTAGAAGACTGTCATATGGTACAGTCACTTGAAGTAGAAGACTGCCGTATGGTACAGTCACTTGAAGTAGAAGTCTGCCGTACGGTACAGTCACTTGAAGTAGAAGACTGTCGTACGGTACAGTCACTTGAAGTAGAAGTCTGCCGTACGGTACAGTCACTTGAAGTAGAAGACTGTCGTACGGTACAGTCACTTGAAGTAGAAGACTGCCGTATAGTACAGGCACTATGGAATAGTGGTTTTAGTAATTTAACAGATCCATTCTTATGTATAATATAGTATGTGAATAGAACTTTATACCTAAAAACACCTCAACATTGAATTTCTTGTATTACGTATTTTTTCGGTAGATACCAGAAGTTGCAAAATAACAAAATGTTGATTTTAATAATGAACATCAAAATTAGTCAACCGTCACAATATGATGATATTACTATAATTGTCAATAGTTTCTATTCTATTTTTTATTTCAATTCTAAATTTAAATGATTTTTATTTTGTTTTTAGATATTCACTTACATTACAAACTTGTAAATATTTGAATACTACCTTGTAGCATTACGTCTACATCAGATGAATCCATAGTGATTTCGTTATTCTAGAATTTGCTATAATCATCCCACGAACCGGAACAGGATTTTCAATAGTGTTCGCTACAATTTCCGGTCTCCATATCCAATGATTACCTAAAGAGAATACAGTTTTGATTTAATGTATTCTGTGTCTGGAATCAGCTAGTTCATCAGTCATTGATACATCATCATCTCATGCAAGCTGTTGTACTCGATGACTCTCCGGTTCTTGTGGAAATACATTACCTGTTTATATTATAGGGACGGCAAGCTATAGTTCCAAAAGATTCAGTAATAGTGGTGAAAGAGTAGGTATTAAAACACCTGACTATTATTTGATGGATGTTACGAAGTTAAAGGGAATGCATGAACTGTTTTCTTGTACAGGGTCACCTTAACGATGGACAAAAGTCATACACCGAGACCAAAAAACACCGTTACATATGTAAGACGCCCATCAATTGAGGGCGAAAAAGACTAAAATAATAAACTTTCCCAATGAATATTTATGCAGTTTGCAATAAAACGACGTGTCCCGAGTACCAATATGAAATAAAACTGTGTCTATCGTACAAAAATTGCGAGGCAAATTATTTCACCTTATACTAATCATCCCTGTTGAAGTACTCGTAGAAAACCCACGTGGTCGGGCAGGTGGCCACTTCCATTTCGGGAATCGAACCCCTGACGGCTAGGTGAAAAGCGAACACGTTAACACTTCGCCGTACGACCACAGAGAATATAATGAACATCAAACATTTACATTGATAACATTTCATATACATCATCCAAATCAACTAGATAGATATTTGTGTACCATCGTCTAGTTATACCGCTACTTTGAGTTTTTGAACAGAACTCTTCTTCCAATGCCCTCTCGAGAGAGTGACATCGTGTAGCGCCAACTTGTTTGGTTCCTGATTGAGTTTTTGGGTCGATTAATTGGAAATGCATTAAAGTTTAACTCATAAATCATGCAAAACGACGTCTAACGAAATCCGGAAGCGTTTTTTTGGCGATACCGCGTGACTCACCTGAAAACACGTTAAAATAAATGGAGGGAAAATGGCAGACGGATTTTATGTGCAGATGTTCCGGGAGAGTAGTCGTTTTTCCCATTCATCGACGAGAACCGTCTAAATAAGTTATAGTAGCGTTCATTGTCTTCGTCATCTTTCATATCTCGAATAAGTTTATCAGCTGTTGACATCTTTCACTGACACAGTAATGTTTGAAGTATGCCCTTGAAGAATGGATCAGCTGTAACGTGTAACCACTGCTGATTAGGGAAGCTGTAATGTTGCTTTCAAGAAATTGGACATTCACAATAAAGCAAGCGATATCATGACGGTCATCCAACAGACTGGCATAAGAATGTATAGAAGTAAGTAGATATAAAAGAGTCTGTAGACACTTATTTGAAATCAGCGAAATATCTTAAATAGTAATGTAAATGTGCATATTGTAAAAGACAAAATGGCCTTCCTATATGGAGTTCCTATAAAAAACAATCTCCCTTTCAGCTAATTATTCTATTAATGATGGGGCATTGCAAAATGAAAATGACAGATTTCAATGAAGCAATTGCACTGGTTAAAGCCTTTTGACTTTCCCCTTAATGAAATCGAATACCCGAGAATGACAGTCTTGGAAGGTTGTTAAAATACTTAAAGTGCTGCTTGTTGTGATGTTTGACGTAACACATTCAAAATAATTTGACTTGCTATTAGTTCCAATCCTTAACAAGGCAATGCTTCTAGGTATTCTAATGTGAACCTAGAAACGCTCTGATCGAAAGACCATATTCTAGGACCTAATGTCGACGTCCATCACACGGAACAACCCTATTAGCCATTTTTTGAAAAAAAATATTGTGAATGGCAAGAAAAAATACATCAGTTATCAGAAAGAATGCAGGTAATGTGACATGTTTCAAAATAAGAGAAACAAAACGATTTCTTGAACTTGTTTTCTAGAATGTGGAATGTATTAATGGATGAAATCAGCTGATAATTAATTTTGCCTTTTGATTAAAAATAGTTGCACTTAGGTAGCATTTATATAAAATATTTCTTATAAAAATATTGTACAGAAGACACACAACCGAATAGCACCTTGTAATACAAATTTATAATTAGACACAGTAGAGCCAAACAACAAATTAGATCGTCCTCGTCAGTGTTGCTGAGGGTGTATTTAGCCTATAGGAGGTAACTGAGGAGTCAAAATGCTCATTTTTTATGACAATTTCAGAACAAGTGTATATCATCTCTTGTCTCAATTAAAAAAGGACCAATATGTTCATATTAATTAATTTACTGTAAAATTTATATTTAATTTATCACAAAGAAACTGGCCTGTATGAATTTGGTTTCATTTATGAATACGACTCTGTTTTTCTTTACCATGAAATCGCTAGAAAAATAACGCTTACCCCCTCGAAATACATGGTCTAATTTCCATTTGCCTAGGTGTCTCATTACAAGTACTTTTTTCGTTCCTTTTTTGTTATCGATTTGTCTATTTTGAAGAAGAAGAAGGAGAGGGCCCTTACCCTTCCGCAACGTCTGATCTTATTCTCCTGGTACTGTTTCATGACTCTTTATGTAGATTTTATTATTATCATTTTTTATCCGTATTAGGCTATGGTTACATCGAATTTGTGTTTGTTGTTTTAGTCATTAATAAAGAAAAAGCCAACAAGAAAAAAATCATTTTCCGACATAAACCAACAAATTGTTCTCTCGAAAACAGATTTAGACACACGGCGGTCGACATGCAGGTATTCATTTTGTTCTTGAGATACCGACATCGGTATTATGACGCCATATGCCAGTGGAATTAAAACTGATTATTTACAAGTGTACCCAGCCTGGAATTGAATATAGAAATAGAGCCAAATCCAAACGCTTTTTCTTTGACAGGTACACAGGAAGAGGATTTCATACTAGTATACATTATCGTGTAGATGTCTGATCGGTATCTGGTTACTTTTTCGTCTACAAACATATTTTGTCCTCTGTCAGAATCATGTGGCTTTTTAAGCAAATATGAAATATAATGTGTTTGATACCAATGGGTTTTTTTTTTAATATTTAATTAACCTCTGTCGTGATTTATCCTTAACATAGTCATTATTTGTTTATTGTTTAATTACATGAATGCAGGCTATTGATGAGGTCCACACACGCTTTTATTAACCTAAGAGAAAATATCGATCGAACATGAAGTCACAATTTTACGTTCAATAAAAGCATGTAAGCATCATTTCTATGTAAAATATAAACTCACCACATCTTACTGTTTTGTTAACGTGTGTTATAACGTGTTGTTTCGGCTCTGCTTGATTCCGTGCTATCAACTAATTCATAATTAGTTTCTTAAACAGCGAAACAGTAAAGCTGGCGCCAGCTATGCGTCATTCTACCAAGCAGTCACCGTTGTGCTAAACGTAGGTAAATCAATCTACCTATCATTTATTATAAAACACCTAGCACATAATTTTTAACATACCCTCTTATCCCCGCCCTCCTTTTCCCTTTTTCAACCGGCAATAATCATTTTTCGTATTATTGGTAATCACGTGGCATTTTTCCAGTCGATCAGAAAGTTGATACATTTTATGTGTGATATCGCCACGTTATTACCATGTTTGACAATATTTCTCATTATCTGTTATGTTTTCAAAACCATTTTCAAGAACACAAATAAAGATCGTAAATAAAATGAACGACGCTTAATCACTTACGATTGTTACACATTTGGAGGACAACATGATCCTCTGAATAATGACCGACCAATATCAGAATGCTGTACGAAGTAAACAGCTTACCTACACCTCTTATAATGAGTGTTCGACTCACCATCTGACCACAAGGTGAATGACCCTGACAGTGTTCACACAATGACCTGTGTTTCGTCAAATTAGTGTCGAGACTATCATTGTGGTGCATTGTACGGAAATTATGGTATTAATAATGAATGACTGAAAAATCAGTGCAAATTGTGGCTAGAGAAAGTCATTGGTTCCTGATCTACCTCAAACTTGATTCTATCAATAACAGTCGAAGACATATATAGTCCGTAGTTACTGGATCCCCTTTACAGCTGTGGTGGTAATCCTTATCATCACTTATAGATATGGTTTTGTGGTATAGTTATTATGAGATAAATTAATTAATTATATAAATTAATCAATTACAGCTATATTTCTGTGACAAAGTAAAATGTAATATAAATTAATCAATTACAGCTATATTTCTGTGACAAAGTAAAATGTAAGATAAATTAATCAATTACAGCTATATTTTTGTTACAAAGTAAAATGTAAGATAAATTAATCAATTATAGCTATATTTTTGTTACAATGTAAAACGTGATATAAATTAATCAATTACAGCTATATTTCTGTGACAAAGTAAAATGTAATATAAATTAATCAATTACAGCTATATTTCTGCAATTATCGCTATATTTTTGTTACAATGTAAACTGCGAGACAACTTCATCACTTATAAGTTTGTTCAAAAGACGTGCATTATTTAGAGTGAGATACAGTTGAGCCAAACAATAAATTATAATACCTCATACAGCTATTTCGTTCTAGTACTCGTCAGTGATACTAAGGGCCTAAATGTTTAAGCCTAAGAGACGACTAAGTGAAATCCAAAGTGATCAAAAGAAAAGTCAAAATCAAGACGTGGAGGTGCAGCAGTTTCATAATTAGGTAAATTCCGTAATTTTCATATATCAGATAATTTTAGAACAGCGTCAAGTACATATGTATTTTCTGAACCGTGCCACTATTCGGGAGAATTAAAACGTGTCATGCAGGTAACGGCAAACCTCAGGAACTTAAAAGTCCACCAGAAGTGTCAACCACCTGCTGTCTTAAAGAATGTACAAAGACACACAAGTGAATAGCACATTTTCACATCTAAGAGTGAGTATGTTTCTGTGACAAAGTAAAATGTAAGATAAATTCATCACTTAGCTATATTTTTGTGGTATA